AGTTTTACTATTTCAATCTTATGTTGTAACGTTAAATTACAGAGTCGTACTTTTTGACAGTGCAATTAAAACAATACGTAAATTTCACTATTAAGCTAATAAATTTGACATATTCGTCTTTTGTTCAGTCATCTGCGACTTAAGTAATTGCAAAGCCTCCTATTAGGAATATTGTTCATCACTATGGAGCTGTATTATTAAAACATGTTTAAATAAAACAAAGATTGACACAATTATGAATAACGGGATCGACATTATTTATTAAATTTTTTTAGTGACAAGGCAACATTTACAAAAATATTCGTTCAATTAAATGGGGATTTAGTTGAAAAATCCAGAATTTAAAGTAATTTTTTGTATATTTTATGTTAATTTCTCGTTTATTTTTCTGTTTGTTTTATTATATTTTGATAAGGGATGTCTATTAAATATTGTTATTAAATATTTGTTGTGATTGATTTGTTATCGCATGGGTTACTAGATAAAACGATTCTTAATGCATAATAAACAACTTGACAGCAATTTAGCCGTAGAATCGTTAATCTTGAATATTTTTTCATAAAAATTGGTACAGGTCCATTTCAGGGGACGCCGAATCCTGTGGCATACGCAGATTTTTTCTAAAAAAATCGCTAATATGGATTCTGGATTTTTCAGCTTCTGAATATGATCTAGTAGGCCTTGGTTTTAAAAAAAAATGGGCGCCGCTTGGCCCCAAAATACACCTTTTCCCCCTCCACATTTGAAAAAAAAATTCGTCAAAATCGCTCCATAAATAAAAATGTTATGAGGGTGGCCCGCTTTCAAATGGGTCACTCTGTATATTTATTATAAAAGTACTGAGTATCTGTTGAAATATATTGACTTAGGACTACAAAATATTTTATTTTGACCCATCCAAAATGTACGACATTGGAGATCTAATCGCGCGCATCAGTTGGATGAAAATAAAGCGCTCTGCTTTCCCCTTGTCTAGCTTCACCCAACATATGAGATAGACTGTGACATGCACAGTCCCCTTTATTTAAATGTCCTTGGGTAGTATTAATTTAGCGGTAAAGTTTCTTAATAGATTTGGACGAAAATCAAATAATTGACGTCTTCCATTTGTCTTATTGGCGTCATTCCAAATGTTGGAAAATAAGAATTTGATACCAAAGATGAGATACCTTTAAGTACAAAAAAGTTATGTCGTTTCCAACACCTTCAATCTATGGCAGCTGGCGCCCTCTATGAACTATAACAAAAATGTGAACAAATTTCAATTCCTCTATCCAAAGAACCCCAAACCCCAAAATCTTGTGTAGATATTTGCATTTATTAAGAAATAAATGGAAATAAACTAAAATAATATTTTACATTTAACACCCTGTATCTCTTTAACTATCAACTTTTGGACTAAGGTAGGTTCGACTAAATCGCAATATTTTTGCTTCGGGAATCTACCCATGAATTTTGGCCCATTATCTCGGGACCACCCTGTATAAATATTTTGTGCATTGTTGCTAAAGCTGTTAAAATCAGAAACTTATGCATTATGGTGCTGCAACTTTTGACTCAAGTGTTGGTGGACGGAAACGAATTCCGATACACTTTGATATACAGTGTGGAACAGCCAAATGGAATATATTCAGTATCTCAATCGACGTGTCTCGGTATTTTTTATAAATAATTGAAACACTGAATTTATCCCATTTGGCTGTTCCACACTGTATATGGTGGGTACGGTACAAAGAAGGTTTACCAATATTACAGGAAATATATATATGATAAATGTATACTTCTCTTCCTTCTTATTGGCTGCATAACAACATTTTTTAAACATCCAGTAACAAGAAAGTACACTATAAATTTGAGCTCAAAGGTTGCATTTATACTCGCTTTAGATTTTGGACAGAAACTAGTCAAAAAACTTTAAAAAATGTGACAACATCGCTTTGAAGGTATAATCTTTCCGAAGTCAGTTGAACATGTATAAAAACGCCAAGCACGAATTCACGAATTTATTGGTAAACAGTATAAATTTCAAAAATGTCACCTTTCCACTCATAATTGTAGTGATACAACAGCGGTACCGTTCTGACACATATTATATAAATATTAGTGTTTGTAAGTAACAAATCAGTAAAAACAATGCAAAACTAGTACGATGCCACTTTGCCACACAATTATTTACATATTCCAATAACATAACCACATTATTGATCTGAAGCTGGAAATCTGTTGGGTTGGTACTTCTGAATTTCACGAAGAAATTGACGAAAATTAGAGCATGTTCTAATTCATCAAGAACTTGATGAATAAATTGATGAAGTTATTTGACAGCAGATTTGGTGCATTACACTTGTCCAATTTCTTGATGAAGCGACTTCATGAATTAATTCATCAACAAATTGTCAATGTAAAACAGCTATATGTATATTATATGATGTTCAGTTGGCCAACAACATATTTTTTCTTTATATAAATTATAAACTGTTCGCCGAATTACGTCTCTCGTCACGTCATCGATATTTTTAAATTTTTGTTTTCGCTTCCTCTTTACGCAATGATCTATAACATCTTGTTTAATAACACGAAAAATTGTGGACACTGAAACTTTAGTTAATATGTGAATTCTATTTATAATTTCATTAGCTGATTTTTCATTTTCTTCATTTTTTAAACAATCGTAAATATTTAAAATGAGACGCCAGTGGCGGCTCGCCAGGTGACGTATTTTTTATAAAATCTAAATGAAAATCCTTCTCGCGAACGTTAGATATTCGGTAATATTGCAAATGCAACTAAAAATTCCCAGATTCATTTAAAGCCGTTTGACCTTGAAAATTTGAAAATTTTCGCCTGCGGCACTTTTTTCCTTTTTAGTCAATTAATGAATATACTTCACCCATTTTCAATGTCACGAGCCGTCACTGTGAGACGCTGACATTGAACTTGTAAATCTTTATTTTTAAATTCTAAATATCACTATATCATCAACATTAATTCTACTAATTCAATATTGTCTGGCGGTATTTCGTTTGTTCCGTTTCAAAAGGTCTTCAAAATGCCATATTGTAATAATATTAGTAAACAAAATATTCCTCTTATTTCTCTTTTTCTCAGTTGTAATATGAATGATTAATAGATGGTGCCTAAAATAAATTAAAATTACCAGAATCACACCAAATTTCGCATTGCTGCACTACACTGCTAGACAATTTATCAACAACTGAAATTTATGGCGGTCGCCCAGTGCGGCTGTGTTTGTGCACCGTTTGCCCACGGCGCGCGCATTCTTCAACTGGGCGTATACATTTCTACCACCACGTTTAGTTCGACCAGACCTGTATACTGGTATCGCCAAATAATTTTGAGAGATGCTCCGGGGGCGCTTCAAAATTCACGAATCTTTTCAATTTCTGCACTGAAGTCACATGCGAAGCCAAAAACCTGTTACCTCAAGCCAGTCCTATAAACCACTAAACAATGCTTCCCACTTCCATAAACTAAATTTTCACCGATGTTTTGATTCCAACCGCTGGCGCTGGAGTTGTTCGCAAAGCAAAGTTGCCAATTCTTGGGAAATTTGCAAACTTCCAGGGAAATATAGAAACTCATACGAAATCTTAAGAAATTTCAGATGCTCTGACTAACAATTAAGTTTTTTTTTAAACTTCGAAATAATAAATTTAGTAGTATTATTTTTTTGATATTATTTTAGTGTTAATTTTTTTGTCAAAAATCATACACTATGTTCCATTTATAATTTTATGTCTATACTTAACAAAAAATACACGTACATTTCATAGAATGCATTGATTTAAAATATGTTTTAGTCCAAAATAAGTTTTTATTTATTTTTAGTTGTAGTGCTGTTATGTATGAGTATCATATCATTTTTTCTTAAAATTAGTTGGCAACGCCGCGACGAAGTCAAAAGTTTCTTCGTAGATACACACCAAGCCAAACTAACAACGTTCACAGAGGCTGATGCTGTCGGGAAAGTGACCGCTGAAGATTCGCCCAAATGCATGTTTCGAATTTTCTGGGAAAACAGCCTGAAATCCAAAAATGCCACTCTGCAACCGTCAAGCACTAGTCAATGGTGTGAGCAATGCAACAGCGTCCAAAAATCGAAAATCGTTGACAATTTGGCGTAGTCGTCAGTAGGCGCGATGGAACGTCAACCTTGGTTATAAATCGCTCGGGTACAAGGCTTGCGACTAAACCACATTGTAGCGTCCCAAATCGCTATAGAGAAGAAATTATCGCTCCTTTTGTTAACCAGCTGGAAGAAAACGAAATTACAAACTTTTACTTTCAACAAGATGGCGCAAGGGCACATACGGCAGGCGAGACGATGAATAGGTTGAGGGAAGTTTTCCAAAATCAACTAATAAGTCTCAATGCTGAACATGAATTTCCACCGAGGTCATGTGATATTACGCCGTGTGATTTCTTTTTGTGGCCTTACCTTAAAAACACTATTTTTGAACTGCCTATTCCTGATTTAAACCATCTGCAGGCTCGACTTATAGACAAGATTCGTGAAATTAACAATACCCCGAGCATCTTAGAAAATGTCTTTAATTCTTTGAGGAACAGGTGAGAAAAGTGCTTGGAACAAGGAGGGGGTCACTTTCAGCAGCTCCTTTAATTGTTTGTTATTGTTATCACAATTATTCTTTAAAATAAAGTTATATAGTCATTAGCGTTATTGAAACTGACAGCTGCTATACAGCTCGTTGAGAAATGAGGTTAAGTTGGTCGCTATAAGCTACTCCCTACGTCCAATGTGTCAGAGCCAACTTCGACCACGTTTTTATTTGAACGCTCGTTATAAACAATGAAAAGGACGCATGCTACAAAAAGCGAAATAGTCCTGGCAAAAGTAAAGTATGTGGTGAAATACACTTATAGTGAAAAAATTAGACGAGAGTCCCAGTAAAAAGCGCAACGGAACGGGTCTGACTCTGTAAACACCAAGTTTAGTTAGTTATAAATAAAAGGGGAGATACCTAGGGATTATGAAATTTATTATGATAAATGTCATTTATACAATTTTGTGAAAGTATTTAAAAAAGCAAGACAGCTGTTAATCTTTTTAATCCTTAATTAAGAAGAAAAACTGTGAAAATATCTTAAGCTAGGTATATCATGATCAGTTAGGGACTTTTGGTGTCATGACGTGGAGATAGTAATAAGATAAATCTAGAATAGCACTCATCTACTAACTTTACTGGCTTTTTGAATTTCCGTCAGTTACTTATAAATTAATAATCTCAAGTCTACCAAATCCCCTATAATATTATTAAATTATAAATACATACAGTTAAACAAAAAAATACAAAAATATATGTACTTCAGTAATTAAGACCTAATCTAAAAATGCTTAATTTAAGAATTTATTATAAAAAATTAAGATTTCAAATGCATTTACTTCCTTTAAAATATCCTTAGACTGCAAGCCTTACAGTCGGTGGCAATAATATCCAGTTCCGGCGTGACGTAGATTCCGGATATCCATTTGAAGCCTTTCCCGCTTCCGAAGATCTTCACGAGGGTGCCATCCGGCTGGAACACTTGAATCCTAGCGTTGCCCCCGTCCCCAACAAATATAAACCCTAGACAGTCCACGGCGACCACCTCGGCAGACCTAAACTGCCCCCTGTTCCTCCCCAAGGAACCGAACTGGTGCAGAATTGTACCCTCCATGTTGAAAATCTTGATTTTATGATTCCCCGTGTCTGCTACAATAACATTAGCACCGTACACCGCCACCCCGGTAGGCACATGTAGCTTTGTGCCCCTTCTGCCGATGATAGATATAAGAGCCCCGGTTTCCGAATTCACTACTAACACCCTGTCGTTGCCAGTGTCGCAGATGATGAGCTCTTCGTTTGGGCCCATCGCTATGCCTTCGGGACAACTCAGTTGCTCGTTGCAAGCGCTCCGCAGGTACTGCCCGTCGCTGGAGAAGACGTGGACGCAGTGCTTCCATTTATCCGAGACGTAGATCTCTTTCCTGGACTTGGAGAACGCCAACGCGCTGGGGCAGATCATCTCGGGATGACTTATACGTTCTACGAGCTTGAATCTAGACCTGTCTAGTACCAGAACGTTGTGGCTGTCCATGGCAGCGATCAGCAGTCTGGAGGTGTCCCAGGGGGGGATTCCCACCCCTCCAGGTCTGGGACATTTGGTCCACAGGAGTTTTGGAACGAAGGATCTGGATCTGTAATGTTTTACCATAGCGTCGACGCTCTCGAAAGGGTTCTCTGATTTCGCGGGGAGGACGGAGGTACTTTCTTCTGTATCGTTGTAGATTCCCTCGGTGTCTTGTTCCAGTCTGAAGGTTTCCGGGTCGAATATCAGTCTGGCTTCGCCGTAGTGGTAGACTTCGTTCAGAATTTTCGCTGTTTCGCGGTGGAGGTTCATGTAGGTCGTGATCTGAAAATCGTAAAGGAAATATTATTCGTTTCATCTTATGGATATAGGTACTAACAATATCTAAAACCGATCAAATGACTTTAAGAAAAAAAAATGAATGAAATACGGATATCCATAGAAGATATTGTACTATAAGGGAAGTAAAACTATAAGATCCAATCATTAAAACTATACCTATAATTTAATAAATGAATACGTATATGTATATTCCTACCTTGTTGCTATTACGACCCTGCTTTATATTATACTGGATTTTGTCCTTCAAATCCAAAATCCTGCTGTCGATGTTCATGTATCTGGTCGAGCCGTCTTCCTTAATTGAAGCAACTTCCTTAAGGACGACCTTCTCCATCTTTTGGATGTAGGCAATCTTCTGCTCAACTGACTCTTTGACAGTGTCGTTCAATTGATCGCAACGGGTGGCAAAGTTCTCAGCTTTGTGCTTCAATCTGCTCTCAGATTCGTCGATTTGCCTAACCAGCATCACCAAGTTGGTGTCCAGCTCAGATATATGGTCGTTCCAACATACTTCGCAGAATATCTTCAACGAAACTCAATATAGTGTGTGAACAAGAATAAGTCGTACAATAAATTGACATTTACCTGCATGCAGTGCTGACATACGTGCTCCTGCTGCTCGGACACAGTCTTGCAATTGACACATCTGTAGTCAACGACCTTCGGGGATATGGGGGAGTTGCCCCCGTCCATCAGTTTCAACAGCGAGTCGATGTAGAGGTTCTTGGGTAGCTCTTCCAGGGAATCGAAGCCTTTCTCTAGGGCGACCTCCTTCTGACACATCGGACACTGGAAGCTTTTCACGTTTTCCGACAGGTTGACCTTCATTTGCTCGACGGATGTATTGTCGGACCTGATTTTCAGATTTTTGGCTATTATGTGCGTCTGCAGGCACGTCAGGCAGAACGTGTGTTGGCAGTGAAGCATCCGGGGGTCCGACAACCTTTCCAGACATATACCGCATTGAACTAGCTCGTCCAGGGCGTCCAAAGAGTCATCCCTTATGAGAAACGATAAATAAAGAATGATAAAGAATTAAAACTATAGATTTTATCGTTTTATTGTTAATTGTTGTAATAACACGAAGAAACACTTAGTTTGTTTCGCTAATTTCTTATATTATCAAAACATAGTGTTCGTTAAATCGATTTTTCTCGAAAACGGATCGAGATACCGAAATGAAACAAGGGTACATAATTAATGGAAAAATGATAGCTCTTTCAGGTTTTGAATCAAGTTTCATGTTAAATATACAGGGTAAAAAGTTATTAACTAAATTTTCGGTAAAATTGGTCGTAAGTGGCGCCCTCTATG